TGTGTGTGTGAATTAAGTGTCCCTCATTGTATTCATGGGTATGTGTGTCACCATAGATGGGGGGGTAGATACAGATAGGGTGTTAAGCTTATTCTGTGAACGTGAATGTCAAAGTCGATTCCAATATTTAGCTTATGTCTATTCATGTTCATTGGTTGGATCTCCAGACAGTAGTCTAGATAAAATTTTGGTAGCCCTTTGTCATCATTCTTCACCCCAATTTTCCCCATCTTATTACATCCTTCTCATCTTGGGAGAACTGGTTCAATGAATGAATGAAGAGAATGTGAGAACAAATACAGAGCCAGAGAATCCCAGAATGGGAAGGAACCTCAGAAATCATCCAGTCCAAGCTGGACTTGAGCAGGAATTGCTTCAACTGAATGCCTTCAAACTCCCACTTGAAGTGAGAGAGAACTCATAGCTTTCCAAGGCAACACATATCACTTTTGTAAGGAAGGTTTTTTTTCCTTACATGGAAGTAAAATGAAAAAAAATCAAGAAATGACAATTGGGATAAGAACTCACTGTTTGACAAAAACTATTGGGAAAACTGTATAATAGTATGGCAGAAACTAGGCATAGGCCAACATCTTACACTGTATGTCAAAATAAAGTCAAAATGGGTACACAATTTAGAGATTATATATACATGCACACTGGGAGAGGAGGGAATAGTTTACCTGTCAGATTTATAGGGAATGGAAGAATTATGACCAAACAAGAGAAAGAGAGCATTATGAAATGCAAATGGGTAATTTTGATTGCATTAAATTGAAAAGTTTTTGGGCAAACAAAGCCAATGCAACCAGGATTAGGAGGGAAGCAGAAAACTGAGAAAGAATTTTTACAACCAGTTTCTCTGATAAGGGCCTCATTTCTAAAACATGTAGAGAACTAAGACAAATTTACAAGAATACAATTTATTCCTCAATTGATAAATGGTCAAAGGATATGAACAGGCAGTTTTCAGAGGAAGAAATCAAAGCAATCTATAGTCATATGAAAAAATGCTCTAAATCATTACTGATTAAAGAAACGCAAATAAAAACAACTCTGAGGTACCACATCACACCTATCAGATTGGCTAACATGACAAAATAGGAAGATGATGAATGCTGGAGAAGATGTGGGGAAATTAGAACACTAATGCATTGTTGGTGGAGTTGTGAACTGATCCAACCATTCTGGAGAGCAATTTGGAACTATGCCCAAAGGGCTATAAGAAATGTGCATACCCTTTGACCCAGCAATAGAACTTCTAGGGCTATATCCCAAAGAGATCATAAAAGTGGGAAAAGGACACACATGTACAAAAATATTTATAGCAGCTCTTTTTGTGATGGCAAAGAATTGGAAATTGAGGGGATGCCTATCAGTTGGGGAATGGCTGAACAAGTTGTGGTATATGAATGTAACAGAATGCTATTGTGCTATAAGAAATGATGAGCAGGTGGTCTTCAGAAAAACCTGGAAAGATTTATATGAATTGATGCTGAATGAAGTAAGCAGAACCAGGAGAACATTGTACATGGTAACAGCCACATTACGTGATGACTGATTTTGATAGACTTATCGATTCTTAGCAATGGAACTCAAAATCTTATGGAAGTGAATGCTGAAAACTAAAAATAAATAAATTAATTTTTAAAACAATCTAGGTAGGAAAAGAGATAAAATAGAAAGTATCATTAAACTGTTATGGGGAATGAAGGGAATATTGACCTATGCAAATGTACGAAATGTGTTTCGGATTTACCTACCAGAAGCTTCCTTCTGACTAGCCAGAGCTAGGATGCCAAAATAGGTAGGCTTTGAATCATCATCAAAAGACAGCTTGTTGAAGACTACTAGGCAGGATCTCGAAGGAATTGTATTAACAAGCATATGAGAAAAGGGTCCAGATACAGGAAAAAAAAAAACCCAAACACCTCTTTTTTCTGTAATGTAACCATGCATGTCTTTGAATGTCCAGGGGGTTTGATAGAGGGGTTTACATGAGCTCTGAAATGGAAGAGTTTTTACATATTTATGGTGTTCATTTCTCTTTGTACGGATAATCTTGAAACCCCAGAATCCTAGATTTGAGAAGGGACTGAGCTAGACATACAGTTCATCCCTTTACCTCCAGGCTAAATTGTCCTTAACTGTATAAACCAGCATTGTACAACTTATTTGTGGGAATATCTGTAGAAACACGTCCGGATCATGAGCTCATGGAAAGCTCTCTATCATGACATCCCCTCCGCCAATTTGCTCCCTCACTCCAGACCCTTTCCTCATTCAAGGCATTACTGCCAAAGTGAGGTTATAGGTATAGTACATAGCTAGGCACTCTACCTGGCACCACCTCATAAAAAGTCCAACTAATAGCGTGAGCTAGGATTTAGGAAGTGCTCCTCCTGATCCATTCTTAACTTTATGTTTGGATTTTGAGAGTAAGAACCTAGGTGTGAGTGTGGGAGCATATGTCTCAGAATCCTTGACATCATCATCATTATCTATAAAGTGCTTTAAGGTTTACAAATCACTTTACAAATATTATCTCATTTTATTCTCACAAGACTCCTGGAAGGTAAATACTATTATTGTCCCATTTTATGGGATGTTTGCTCATATGCATGCATTCAAATGTGGCTCCCCATACCAGTTTTGTCGGGACACATGTGACTCCAGGGCTTTTTGGTACTTATTTGGGTGTGTGTCTGTGGGTGTTTCATTTGGTTTCTGTGCAGAGTTTGAAGAGATGAGCTTCCTGTTGAATGACCCTTGGCTCCATTTGTCTTGTGAAGCAGTTGCTGGTAAGGGAAAGGGCACTGGATTTGTAGTTAGAGGACCTGGTTCAACCTTCAACTGCCCCTCGCCTTCTCCCTATTGTATATTACTTGTGTACCACTGAGAAAATCCTTGGGCCTCAGTTTCCTCATTTGCAAAGTGAGGAGGATGAATTAGATGATGACTACATCTATGAACCTTTGTCCCTCTTGTGCTCCAAGGTTTGGTCTCTAAAGGCTCAAATTCATTAAGCTGGTTATTTGAATGAACACAACTGCTTTTGGTAATAGGTTGAAAAGGAGGACTAAAGGACGTATAGGAATAAGAAAACTGACTGATATGTAGAATGATATCTCAGTAACTCCTAGGAAGTCCTTTGAATTTACATTCAAGATTCTTTCCCCCTCTGCTTCACCTTTAATTTTTCACTGACTCCCAAATGCTCTCCCTGCCTTCCCTTCTTCCTCATGCAAAGCTTCCCCTACCCACAGTCGTTTTCATCTCCAGGTCCTCTGTTAAGTCTAAAGCCCTTCAAGTTGTCTTTTTTTTATGTTTTTTTTTTTTTAATTTTAGGCTATTGGGGTTAAGTGACTTGCCCAGGGTCACACAGCTAGTACGTGTCAAATGTTTGGTCTGAGGCCGAATTTGAACTCAGGTACTCCTGACTTTAGGGGCAGTGCTCTATCCACTGCGCCACCTAGCTGCCCCCCCTTTAAGTTAAGTCTTAACTCTCCCTGCTGTCTGTATTCCTTTTCTATATTTCAGTTTGGCTGCTCTTTTTACCTGTGCCTTTGTCAACAAGCCACACACCTGAACCTCCTTTAAGATACGTGGGAATAAGCTCTATTCAATATCATAACCATTTACCAGTTCTATGCAGACCCAGAAAAATTAGTATAGGACTAGAAACTGGAGTTAGGAGCTGGTAGATTCTTTGTACTGATGATGTCTATTCTTGAGCCCTGGAAAAACTGGGTCTCAAAGTGTCACGACGGTTATTAGAATGAATAAATGAACACAACACAAAAGTATAATGTATACACTACATACAATGTATACATAACATAAAATGTTACAAGGCAAGACTATATAACTATTGTATCATCTTGATGATACAATACAATATGTTGTATAATTCAGTTGAAGGAAGCACTGTTAACTGGAAACTCCCACCAAAATAGCAATAAAATAGGTTGTGAAATCTGATATCAGTTAAAGGCAAGTGAACTGCATAATTATATTCCAGATCAGTAAGAAGTATAGCCCTTAATAGAGTAGACTTTCGTGACCTCACAGGAATGGAGATTGTACTAAGTAATCAGAGAAAGAATGTAAAATATGTTGAAATACAGACCAGAGGGCAAGCAACTCTGGATTAATTTCAATGTGGACTTTGAGGCCACACCCACTACAGGAAGAAAGATTGGAGTCGATGTATTTCATGTGAGAGGCAGGTTATATAGTATTAAGTATGACAAAGAGTAGAGAAAGTCTGGTACACTCAAGGATAATAGGGGAGAGATGTCATGTTCAGACAGCTTAAGGACAGCCTAAGCTGGGTGGGTACCTGAATGTTGGAGTAAAGACTTTGGGGAAAATGACCTTAATGTGGCATGTTACATTTAGCCCAGGGCTACAGTGATGTGGGCAGTGTGTAGCTTGATAATAAAGATGTTTGGGTATCTCTAGTGTATACCTGGATGGTGGGTAGAATACCCAGACCTGGACATTGATTGCAATGAATGCAATGAAACCCATATGATGCTTGGAATTATGGTTTGACTTATGGTCTACTTCTGCAACACTTTCTCATTGACTTAAGGATATATCTGTAAAACAGAGGTTTTAGGGTGGATAACATAGATTTTAAGTTGCTTAACGGGAAGAAGCAAAAACCTTTGGTAATACTGGTTACCGTCTTGCTAGACTGGTGGTGCACATGTTAACTTGGTCACATTTCTGTGCTTGAACGAGAATGTCTAGAACTCATTAAAAAAAAAGCTCCATATCCTCTCCACAGTGGAGAATCTTCTAAATGAGAACATATCCTCCCCACAGTGGAAAATATGAAGGGCATTGGTTACATGTCAGGCAAGAGCCTGGTAAGGAAATGTATGCTTCAAGGTTAGAGAGAGGATGATCCCGAGAAATATAGCAGACATTGATTTCATGACTACTGATCTGATTACAAAAAAAAAACCTAATCACACTCTCCTATGTTTCAGAGTCATCAAGCTCTGTGGGATTGTTCACAGATGTGAACATTCTATGCATCGTGTAGAACAGGCACTGGAGGTGGCAGCCTGATTACAATGGGAGACTCAAGGAGGATGAGAAGGATGCTACTGGAATGCAAACTCACTGACAAGCTATGCAGTAAGTTTAGGCTATCACATCACCTGATTCAACTTGAGGTTCTCAAGGACAAACAGGCTCAGGCTGGTTGGAATCATATGTTGGAAATGCAGAGGGAATGAAGGTGGTTTCTAGAAAAAGGGTCCTTGCAGTGATGTACTGGTAAATGCTTAACAATGGGCTCTCTGAGAAAAAAAATATACTCAAAAATTTTTTTGAGGCAATTGAGGTTAAGTGACTTGCCCAGGGTCACACAGCCAGTAGGTGTCTGAGGCTGGATTTGAGCTCAGATTCTCCTGACTCTGATCTGGTGCTCTCTCCACTAAGCCATCTAGCTGTCACTGCCCTCCTCCCCTTTTTTTGGATCAGAATATGTTTAATTTTAATCTATGCTGTTAACATTTTCCCCATCTCTTTATTAAATCTAGATAATCAACAAAACAGTAAATAAACCTCTGAGTTGTAGCCATGCTGATTTCTAAGGTGTAAATGCCCACAGTGAAAATTTAACAATTATTTCTTGATAGCCAGTTCTACCTGGCTCTAGCACATCCCTGATATTCTCTCTAGATGGAAAAGTGCCAATCAGAGTTTCAAACTCTGCCTCTTCTTTATCTCTGTCAATAGCTTTAACTTTCATATGGAGCAGAAGTCCAACCAGAGTGGAATTTTTGTTCATTCAATAGAAAGATTAAAGAGCAAAGCCATGGTTAGGAAAGGAGTCAAGTTGGTTATGAGATTTCTGGGCCATATTCCTTTTATGCTTCCTTTCCTTTCTCTACTACTTGCCTCTTCAGTTATACGGGAGAACCAGTACGAAGTTGTCATCGTTCCCACACTCCTCGTTGCAACCTTCCTTATCCTTCTGGGGGTGATCTTATGGCTCCATTTTCGAGGACAAAGGGTCCAGAGACAGCCACCTGGACTCCAAGGTAAAGGCCAGGGGGAAGGGACTTCAGAGCCCAGTAAAGTTTCTTCAGAAGGAATGGGAAAGTGAGATAAGATGGGCTTGTGTCTAAAGGCTCAAGGGCCTTCCCACGCTGTACTCCAAAGGTGGAAGTTGGGATGAGGATGATTTCAACTCCCAGGATTTCAAAGAAGCACAGTGTTGTGTATAATAGTAGGTGTTCAAGGCAGAGGAGGCGTTCAGTGCTATATTCCCTTTTTGTTCCATCAGAATATCAGAAAATATTCTAGAGCTGAGAAGGGAGAACTCAGACTATGCCAGCTCTATGTGTTTCCATCCTGGTATGTAGGACAGCCCAATTCCACCTTTTCTTATAAAGAGTATATAGCTGAGGTTGTGTAGATTTAATTACAGCATATGAATCTGTGAAAGGTTATTAAGCCAGAGGTGGTAGGTGACCAGCTGGTTTTTAGCTTCACTGAAGATGTAATAAGAGGAAATGAACTTACTAGAGATGTTTGAGTTAAATATATTGAATACTTTTCTGATTAGAGGCAGTGTGATGTAATGGATAGGAAGCCAGCCATGGAGTGAGGAAGACTAGGGTTCAAGTCCTGGCTCTGACACCTACCTTCTGTAAGAATGTCATCTCTTAGTGCCCCAAGCAATTCTTTAAAGCTCTAAGTTGCAGAGAGTTGTTCAGCATTGGTAGAGGGAGTTTTCTCATATAGATTTCCTATGCCAATGACATCACAGGTCTAGTCTCCCCACCCACAAAATACTTCCTGGAAAGGATGCGAGACTCCAGGGAAAGAAAAATGACAACAACCTTCCCTGGCGGTATTTAAAAATAAGGAAAAACTCAACATTTTATCTAAGTAGGACAGAGATTATCCTGCCTAGAAATAATAAGACAGCATAGAGCAGAGGTGTGTCAACACTGGCTCAGGTCCGCAACGCTCCCAAGTGTGCCTGAACCAGATTAAAATGTCATTGGAAATATTTGACAAAATAAATACAAATACAATAAGACATAAATAATATGCAGTTTTCTAAGTCATTATATGGCCCACAGAGATCCTTATGGTTTAGTGGCCTCTGTTTCACTTTGAGTTTGACATCACTGGTGTAGAGGGTCTTTATAGACTGAGGACCCTAGGGAAAGGGCATAGGTTGGAGGGTTGAAACTGGTCAGAGGGGAGAAACTGATTAAAGAGTAATTTTCTCCCCCTGATTAGAAGTCACTTAGTTTGACTTGGTTGAAGTCATTTCATTTCCTTTTGTCTCCATAATAGTTACCATGAGTACTTGGGTAACTGAGGCTCTGGGGAGATTGTTTAAGTGCGATGTCCTCATTACCCTGAAACCAAACTCCTGAAAAATTATCCTGCAATTCTAGGGAGAGCAAGTAGAAGGAGAAGAAAAGCCAGTACACTAATTAAACCAAGGATGGTGGATGACCAGGCATTCTTCATCTTCTTTCAAGACCAAATAAGAAGGAACAAGCTTGGCATTTTATTGGGGGACCCTCATGTTGGTGCAGACATTGGAGGTAGCGCCTGGCCAGGTCCTTGGAAAACAGGAGCAAGACTGGGTCTTAAGGGACATTACTGGTCAGAGGAAAAAGAATTGCAGGGATCTCTTTGACATATTCCTCCTGGACCTTCTTTTTCTGGCATCCTAGTTCAGCAAAGTCCTGAATCTCAGTTGAGGTGTTTCCTCTCTTTGCCTTAGGAATTGCCCCTATGCCTCCGTCTCGGGGCCTCAGCTGGGAAGCAGCAGGGCTTGGAGGAAACATCTTTGTGCTACAGAAGCAGACGTCAGTGGACAGCCTCTTACAGGCCACTGCACCCACCCTGGCTAAGCTGCAGGTGCCCCGAGAGCAAATCACAGAAGTCCTGGAGGAGATCCACAATGGAACTTGTGGAGCCATCTACCGGACCAAGATGAACACTGGGGACTCTACTAAGCCTAAGAGTGTTGTCCTTAAGGCTTTGCGAGGTAAGCTAAGGAGCCTCCCCTGCTCCCTCCTCTTTTTATTTCCATATCCTGTTACTTAGTTAACTTGGGAGGGGTCCCTAGACAGAACCTGTCTTTTAGATATCAGCTCAGCCTCTCTCAATCAGATAGTAGAGCCATTCTATCTATACTATGGTACATCTAATGGCCTAATTAAGTTTTCTGGTGTGACCATTGCTCTTCCTTTCCTAAATATGGCCTCATCCTAATTATGTCTCTCTCACTGGCAGTCCAAAATGGTGGGAGGAGTATAGGAAAATAGGAAAAGAAAACAAAGCAAAAATGGCAACTGAAGGGCATATGTGGTAATTACATTCTAGTGTGATAATCTCTGTCTGAAAAGCCATATGTAAACATTCCCATTTAATATAAAAACATGCATGGCTTTCCACTTTCATACTCATCCATGAAAAAAAAATGATGTAGTAAAAGGAACGCTTCACTAAGAGATAGGAAAGCAGGATTCTAGTGCTTCCTTCGTCACTTGACTAGCTTGGACCTTGGTTTCCCCATTTGTAAAAAGTCAGTTTTTAATAAAAAGAGCACGGCACTTAAAGTCTAAAGGATGTATGTTCAAGTCCCTGATCTATGAAAATGGACTAGATGACTTCTAAGTTTCCCTATAGCTTTCAATCTATGATCCTGTGAATAACACATTCACCTGAAGCAGGAGGCCATATTATCTTCCACATTTTTTACAGATGAGGAAACTGAAGGTCGGAGATGTTAAGAGACTTGCCCAAGTACATACAGCTAGCTAATGGCATAGCCAGTCCTCCAATCTGAGTCTCCTGGCTCCCCATTCAGTATTCTTTCAATATGATGATCTCTTGCAGTACCTTTCAGCTCTGAGACCTATGATTTAGTGTTTCCTTTGAGAAAATGTCAGTGAAGACCTCAGCACTATGAGTATCAGCTTCTACAAAACAACTTTTTAACTACCCAGTTCTTATCTACCTTGACCACCAACTATGGATATCCTCTTCATGGGGCCTCAGCAGAATCTTAGTCAATATTATTCTTTGCCCCATGAATTCCTCCACAGCTACAGTATTCTCTCTGCTTGCCATCTCTGTCTCCTATCTTCTACAGAACCAGCAGGATTTCATGAGATAGAAGATTTTTTGGGACGTATTCAGTTCCACCATTTTCTAGGAAAGCATAAAAACTTGGTCCAGCTTGAAGGCTGTTGCACACAGAAGCTGCCCCTCTATATGGTATTGGAAGATATGACTCACGGTGATCTGCTCAACTTTCTTTGGACTTGCCGTCGGGTAAGCTCTGTGTGTGTGTGTGTGTGTGTGTGTGTGTGTGTGTGTGTGTGTGTGTTTGTGTGTGTGTGTGAGAGAGAAGAAGTTTGGGTTTAAGGACAAAAGAAATGTGGAACTTGCATTTTCCTGATTATTTCCTAAGGCATCAAACCAAAACTGTCTTCCTTTTTCAGTTCTACCTTTAGCTTCTAGAGATGTTAATTCAGAAGAGGTGCATTTATTCCTCTATCAATTCTTCAATCTCAGTCAATGCTTCAATATTTCCATGGATTCATGATCTTAATGATGTGGGTCCTAGTGTGAATTGTAACACATCCAAGCCTTCTTATCAATTCTCTTCCATGACCTTAAATGAATCCTCTACAGGAAATCAACCCAAAAAGCTGGATGCCTTTTTCTATATTAAGTGATACTAGCTTAGCAATTAGGTTGTACCTCTATTGTCATTCTTTCTTGTTATTTGGCTGTCCTATGAAAATTTTCTGCCATACATTTATAGACTGAAACATTTTATGTCCTTTCTGAAATGCAAGCCATCGTTAGTAATATGTGGTCACCCACTTACAGCTCTCCTGGGTCCCTCCCTCTCTCTTTGAGTCACTCTTTATTTTGGTTCTTTAGAGATTCTGGTGGTCCCATGATAACAATCACCAGAAGGATACTAACGTTAAGACGTCTTTTTGGGTATCAAGAGGCAGCTTAGGATTATTGAAAGTACTACACAATTTCAAAAATGCAAGCAATGTAATTTTCTTCATTCCATTCAATTTTAGGAGCAGCTCATGGTCCATTTGTAGTGCCTGTCCAAACTATATAAAATTATAGATGGATTGCCTCACAAAACTGCATATCGGTATAAACAAAAGGCATTCTTCATTCATTTAGCTTTTCCTATGCAGACTGCTAAATCCGTCTCCCTTGAGTCATCCTAGATTACACTGAGGAGAGTGTTCTAGAGCTTGAAACACTTTGTCAGTCATGAACATGAGCATAGAGAGGGTCTGAGCATCTACGAAGAATTAATTTTTTCATTTAGATATTGTGACAGTAGTGAGCACCTTTGGTAAGCATATGTCTATCTGGTTTATGCATTGCTCGATCCTGATAAGAGAGAATTGTTGAACAAAGTTATTGCTCTTGTCTCTATCAAGAAATTTTGTGCGATCTTAACATTATCATGGAATACAGTTGGTTAGAGGGGGCTTTATTGAGTCAAATACTTTTTTTTCTTCTTGTGAAATCAACAAACAATAAACAGCATTATCTGCTATTCTGAGATGTGGTCTCTAGAAGAAAAAAAAGTTTGTATAAACCCACCTATTCTTTTCTAACATTTTCATCAAAGATACCCTTGACACACAGTTCATCATTATTAAATTTTTGCAAAGATGAGAAAGTTCAATTGGCATTTTTTAATCACTGAGTATGTGCCAGATACTGCTAAGGATGGGGGCTACTCAAATCAATATGGAAGTTTCCTCCACAATGCAAATCCAAATGCAACCTTGCCTGACCATTCCGTGTGACTTTTATCCATATCCATATGTTCACCACAGGAGGTACACCCAACGTTCTGGAGGCCTTCCTCACTATCTCCCAACACCAGTGGAATATTCTATTATTCACCTGTCATCTCTTATTCTCGCGACATGACATCTCTTTCCAGCATACAGTTCTTTGATATCTTTTTTCTTGTTCGTCTTAGTGCCTCATTGGTTATATATACAGCCTGTTTATACCCATCATTTGGATCTCCACTACCGTGTGTGTGACATTCATTTTTAATTCTTCAGAGACTGTTGGATTTCCTGTCTTACTGCCATAGAACTATACCAGAAGAATGTCAGTATTAAGAGAGAGATCTATGCTTCACGGAAAATTCTAGGTCATTACAATTTCCTTTAGGAAATTGCACTTTCTCTGTTCAACTCTGGGCTGAACTTATTACCCCTTCATACTGTCTGTATTAGACATAAAGATGGACAAGTTCCACAGGTTGTCCATCCAAAGCATACAGCAATCTGAGCAACAGATATTTTTCAATTGCTTAATCTTCCCTGTGTGGATGGTCAAGTCAAACTCTTTTGAACTGTTACACATCTCTTGTAGAAGACTCTATGCTGCTCTAGGGAAGCTAGAGGCACCCCCCCCCCATAGAAGCATCACTATTCACAGAGAAAAACTCTCTTCAATTTATATACTTTGCATTCCCTAGGGCCAAACAGAAAACATTCAACAAATCCCTTTTTCATAGGGGGGCCACTTAAAATACATCACTTAGTAGCCACCCTACTGGTGAGATCTCTTTATATGATTACCTAAGTTGATCCTCCAAGAGAAGCAGTGAGCACTTTGTACTCACCATTGTGTTGGAAGCCTTTCCAGCATTGTAGATTCTGTCAGAGTTGCGTTGTATCGGTTTAGCCTTCCTGGTCATTATATATAGGACTTTTGGGGAGAATTTCATATTATTCAGTTAAAATATCCAGACACTCTTGCTCTTCTATCTTTGATTCTTTTTTTTTCTGAAATTTCTCAAACCTCTACCTTCTTCCTTTTCAAGATTCTGCTAATTTCTTTGGTCCTCTGGTCTACCCATTCAGCTATAAAACTGAAAGAATATTTATTGATCTCCCACAATTTGCTTTTGCCCCATGATGAAAATATTCATCTCCCCTTGAGTGAGATTGCAAGCTCCTTGAAGACAGGGGATGTTTTACTTATTTATTTGTATTTCTAGTGCATCACACAGTACCTAGCACATAATAATCACTTAATGAGTCTGTGTGGATTGACTGATTAGTCCTTGTGGTCTGGGATCTAATAATCCAAAGATGCAAAATGAACAACATGTATATTTTATTTAAATACTTCTATTTATTTATTTATTTATTTGATACATCTTCACATATTCCTTGGCTTATCTGCCATAATCACTCATGCCCTTGATTTCATTTGTCTGGAGTCAGAGAGGCAACATTACATAGTCCCAGAGTCCAGGAGGACCTGAATTCAAGTTCTGCCACTGATACATGTTGGCTAAGAGCTTGGTTAAGTAACTTAATTTCTCCATACCCTAACCAATTTTCTAAGACTAGTAGTTATAATTGAGTTGCTGACCTGTATGGACAGAGAGTTTTCTTACCAGGGAGTTCCCTATGCTGATAAAATCACAGGCCTGAGTACAAAATAATCTGAGGACAGGTGGAGAATGAATGGCAAGCTAGGTGGAGGTCAGGATGATGAAGATAAGTACTTGGGCAGCTCATCCTCCTCTAATTCTCCCCCACTGACTCCCAAACTAGGTCTTATGCACTGCTTATCACCTAGACCCAAACACAAGTGTTAAAAGAAATTGCTAACCAATGGGGTAATTAAATGTACATATGATTTTTGCATGTGTTTTACTATCATTGTGATTATTTGTGTTTTTTAATCTGATTCCATCATTATCCCAATTTGTTTCCCCTAACCATTTATTTCTTCAGTGCCCTGTGTTCCATTGTCCTCTTCCTCTGTGTATATCTATCTGAAAGTCTATACTTCTATATCTCTTAATCTCTGCTCCTATTACTATATTTTTCACTTGGCCTTTATCTCTCTACTTCTAGTTTTCAATGTCTCATACCTTCCGTGTATCTTAAATTTTTTTTTCTGTATTTCCTTCTGCTGCCATGCATGGCCAGCTTGTTTTAGACCATCCTTAATGAAATGTTTTTTTCCCCTCTCTTCTTTACTCTCTTTAGGATGTGATGACAATGGATGGCCTCCTCTATGACCTTACCGAGAAGCAAGTCTATCATATTGCACAGCAGGTTCTCATGGCTTTGGTGAGACTTGGCAGACCTACTCATGGGTTTTGGAAGGGAGGGGAGAGCTATAATTAGAATGAGATGATCAAGTCAGTGCCCCAAATTTAGAGGCTTCTGACCATTTGTAGTTCTTTAGGATTGCAGAAGCAACAGAGCTTTTGCAGGCAGTCAGCAAGACTACTTAGTTAAAACAAGTTACCTGCCATGGGTATGAGGAAGCTGTTTCCACACTTGGACCTGTTCCTTCCACCTCCAACTGAGAGTTGTTGGTGCAAAAATTCCTACTTATGGATCTTGTTGCCATGCTCTTAGCCCTACATTTAACTACACAGATTTTACCTGTGTGCTCTGAAAAGAAAGAGGGTAAGAAGAAGAAAAAGATACATTGTCCATTGGAAATAAATAATATTTGCTCTATGTAACAAAGAAAGATATAGTCTTATAAACTTTATTTCATAGACTAGTCCAGTTAAGGTTCTTCAGAGGCAACAGCAGGGATTTAGAAAGGTCCCTCAGTCCTAAGAAAACAGATGGTATATAGGGGAGGCAGTCCTACTGAAGGACTAAGGTGTCCCCTTAGTATTTATGAATGGATGGGGGATAAATCAGGCAGTAAGATGAGAGAGGATATTTAGAGAGGGACTGAGTGGATGAAAGGGCACAGGAGCTGATGAAAGTATGTATTCTTAACCACTTGAAAAACAAACAAATTCCTGAAGTTCATAGTTGGCCTCCCAATGAGATTTTGTCTCTTCTTTGATGGAAGGCTAGTTATGGCCCTTTTAAAGAAATAGAGGGAGAATATAGAGTTAATGAACAACAAAAAGTGAGGAAGAATGGAGAAAAGGGCATCAGTGTACTTTGGGTCTCCACAAAAGCAGAGAAATTGAAGAAACAATTGAGAAACAAATATATACTTTTGCCTGATTTATTCAAGAAATCCTTCTGGTTTCTTTAGCCTAAATTATCTTGATAATTGTATTTGCTCTGACTGACTGATGGTTCCCTATGGATAGTCTCAAATGTCTTACTCTAACCTTGCCTTTAAATTTCTTAGAAATACCCACAATTCTGTTAGAGCTAGATAGGACCTTACAGATGACACAGTTTAACCTCATTTTACAGATGAACTCTAGGTGGCTAGCTGAGACAGACCTGGAGTCTAGGAAAACTTTTGATAGCAAAAGAGAAGAGGGAGTGAATGCTGAGACCACTAAAGGGAAATAGACACAGTTTGTTAACCATGGCATTTTGCTGGCAAGGTTGTTTTCCTACGTCAGCTCCAACATTTATCACTTTCCTTTTTTGTCATATTAGCCTAAGACTATTGTTCCTGCAGCATTTTTTTCAGGTTCAATGTTCCTAATTGCTGTAAAGTTGCTTCATCTCCAGCCCTTTAGTCATCTCATGCCAAGAGAGGAACAGGGATGAATCAACATCTAGTATATGGTTTCTGACTGCATTTCAAAACAAAACATAAATGCCTTTGGAGATTATTCATGATATTTTGTGATACACGCCATGTTTCCCTTCCCGTTAGCTTAGATAATTGGGCCATAAGTTTATTATTAGTGTAGTCGAATGGCCCAGACTGACTCAGGTGTTGTTCTCTGTGCTCTGAGTCAGTGGTCTCCAAAGCCCTGATCTCCTCTCCATTTTTATCCCAACAGGAATTTCTCCAGGGGAAGCGACTATTCCATGGAGATATAGCAGCCAGGAACGTTCTGATCCAGAATGACCTCACTGCCAAGCTCTGTGGGCTGGGTCTGGCATATGAAGTCCACGCTCGAGGTGCCATCTCCTCCAAACGAATAGTACCCCTAAAGTGGCAAGCCCCTGAGAGGCTCCTGCTGAAGCCTACAGGAATCAGAGGAGATGTGTATGGTTTGTTTCTGCTCAGTAGTCTTTTTCCTGCTGAACTAAACCCAGTGGAAGGTTTCCAAAGACCATACATGGGGCTTTAGTCTATAAAACGATAATCAAGTAACACTGAATTAGTGATGAGAATCAAACCTAAAGAAATCTGAGAAGGTGAAAAGTTTGTCTTCAGCCTCTTCTCTTTCCTTGTTCCTTCCCCCATTTTCCAGTGTCTGGTTCCCTTTTAGACACTCAGAACTCTAGCTCATATCTCTTCCACAGGAGAAAACAATCTGATAAATTAATTAACATTAAATTAAGGTGTTCAGGACTTAAGTATGTGTTGTTCTCCCTGCCTTCTTCCACTGAGGAAATTTAGAGCACTGGCAAGATTAGGTAATGCTTAACTGAATCACTAATTGTAAAATGTCCAGCATCAGTAGGAGTGGTAGCCCTTTAATTTCACCAAAAAGACTGGTTCCTCTTGTCTATAAAGTTGACTCTGCTCTCAGTTTTTCTGGGTTGGGCCAGTTGAATCTAACAAAGCAGGAAAGAGAAGTAACTAAATGGGGGTAGAAGTAGAAGAGAGACAATAAGTCGTATGGCCTCTGGAAGAAAGTGAGAGTTGGGAGAGAAGGCAAGGAAGAACAGGGGGGAAAACTGAAGAATAAATCACAATGGGAAATTTCTGCCCTTTTCTGTATTTAGAACTAAGTGGACAAACTGGGAATCCACTGGTGATGGATATAGACAAGACAGCCACTAGACTCCAAGAGCTTGAAATTGAATGGAGGAGACAAGTCAGCTCTTTCCCCCGATAGGCTATAGCTCTGGCAGGACTTACCCTTAATCCTCTTCTCTTATTCTCAGTGTTCCCCTCCATTGGATGTCTATTAATTTTGTGACATCTCTTCAAGACAGAAAAAAGTAGAGAATGAGCAGGCTTATTTTGTTTGATTTACAGATGGTCTTTTGGAATCTTGCTGTATGAGATGGTGACTTTAGGTAAGGATGAACCCTAGAAGAACCTAGAAGGTGGGGATAAACCAAAAACTTTCAGCTAAGCCAATGGGGTATGAATTCAAATTTAATTTCTAGGGAAAGGCAGCTTTGGCTATTAATCAGCTGAATCTATTGTAGTTTGCTGGTTTTTCTTTTGGGGGGATTATACACATTGTGGTATAGATCAGTGGTGTCAAACTCAAATAGAGACAAGAGCCACTAAACCCCACATAAAGATCCCTGCCTGGGGCTTACTGACTGAGAAAACCACGTGTTTAAATTATCCATATTCTACTCTATTTTTTATTTATTTTGTTAAATATTTCCCAATTACATTTTAATCTGGTTCAGTTTCACTGGAAGTGTTGCTGGCAGCAATGCTGCTCTTTTGGGCTGAGTATTTGACATATCTATTATAACTGAGACCAGTTATCACACTGATGGTAAATTCTTCAACTTGAAAAGGCTACACAAGACCAAAGTGGAGGGAATGTTGGTGGAGATTTTTTGTTTGCAGGTGATTCTGCACTCAATGCAGCCTCTGAAGCTGAGATGCAAAAAAAAAAATATGGATTGATTCTCTCCTTCTTGTGTTAGTTTTGGTCTAACAATTAACACCAAGAAATCACAGGCACTCCATCAGCTAGCACCACATTATCCATATGTGGAACTGTTGATTACAGCAAATGGAGAAGTTTTGAATACTTTGGATAAGTCCACTTACAATGGCAGTATACTTTCTAGGGAGTACACATTGACAGTGAGGTTTACACAGGCGTTGCCAGAGCTAGCTCAGTGTTGGTGAGGCTCCAAAGGCAAGTGTGGGAGAGAAGAGGTATTAAATTGACTACCAAACTGAAGATCTACAGAGCCATTGTGCTGACTTCATCAACACTGAGGTCCTTTCTTAAACTAACCTGCCAAGCATTCAAACTTTACTGCAGAGTGTAACTCCCACGGGTTGGCCATATTGTTTGAATGCCAAATGTGCACTTGCCAAAAAGACTGTTTTGTGGAGAACTCACACAGGGCGAGTGTTTACATGGTGGTCAAAAAAAGCAATACAAGGACATTTTCAAGGTCTCTCTTAAGAACTTTGGAATTGGGGCATCTAGGTGGCACAGTGGATAGAACACTGGCCCTGGATTCAGGAGGACCTGAGTTCAAATCCAGGTTTAGACACATAACACTTACTGGCTGTGTGACCCTGGGCAAGTCACTTAACCCCATTGTCCAGCCAAAAAAAAAAACTTTGGAATTGATTGTGTGACATGGGAGACACTGGCACAGAACTTCCCAGCATGCTGTGCCCTCAATGGAGAAGGTGCTATGCTTTATAAGCAAAGCAGAATTGAAGCAGCTCAAAAGAAATGCCAGATGCGCAAGTTGAGAAAATCCACCCCAAATGTTCACATGAACTATTTGTGCCAACCTGTGGTAGTGCATTCCAAGCTCATATTGATCTTATCAGCCACGGCAGGACACACCATAACTTGACTCTAACACAGTGATGTCATTTTGGTCGCCTTTGAGAATGAAGGACAGTGACCAGCCAGCCCATAGTTGATAGACAGCCCATACTGCCTCACATTCCCTCCCACCCACCCCCATCTCGAGATATGTTTTCAGACCACAGGCCTCTATAAGATAAAAGGATCAAACTTCAGGAGTTCGTAACCTTTTTTTTTACATCATGGACCCCTTTGGCAATCTTGGTAAAGACTATGGACTACTTCTCAGTATAATGCATGTAAATGTATAAAAGAAAATACACAAGATTACAAATTAATTAAATTATATTGAAATATGGTTATGCAAATATAATAAATAAATTTACTGACTTCAGATTAAGAGTCACAGGGAAACCATGTCTAAAGTTTTTCCTCATCCTACCACTCTCTGGGCCCATCCTGACTAGAGACAATGGTTATGGCCGAGTGTAGTCTTCAACCTAGGTGATTCATTTGCCTGAGGGTCCATGGCATCTGTTCCCTTTTCGGTCTTAGTTCTGACTTTGCTTGCACAGTTGCTTGGTACGGACTCATTATTATCTTTGGTTCCTAGTGTCTTCAACATGTTTCCCATCTTTTGCATGTGATACTTGCACTTGGCCATCAGGTGGCAAACAAAATCTTTTAAAAAAATTCTTACACATTGACTTTTTTTTTCTGTTTGTTTGTTTTGTTTTGTTTTTGTTTTTTAAATTAACCCAGCTAGATGGAGTGAGGTGGATGAAAATTACTACCATTGGAGAGTTCTTATTAGAGAGAAATCAGGATTCTTCCTGAAGAATCACCACTATGTTGCTTTTCCCTTCCTTTGCAGGGGCTCCACCATATCCAGAAGTCCCTCCTACTAGCATTCTACAGTATCTCCAGAGGAGAAAAATCATGAAAAGACCCTCCAGTTGCACATCCACCATGTAAGCAATTCCTTTGGTACATACTTCTCTTTCTACTCCCTCCTCCCCCAAACCCCTTGTTAGCTGCATCTCCCTCAAAGAGGACAGAGTGTTAATTTATTACTCTCTTTGTACTAACAAGTACAATCTCAGATCAGACCTTAGCAGGAATATAAATGTATCTTGTATACAGTGCAGTAATGTGTGTAAGCTCTTATCATTGTATTCATGTGAGAAATGAGAAAATAATTATGTAAGTAATATAATTGATAACAAGTAGCATTTCAACTATGTATCATGATTCTATTGCTGTAAAGGAGTGTCAGGGAAATTTAGGGTAATGAGGGAAGGGTTTGTGAAGGCAAACTTTAAATTAGATCTTGACAGAAGAGGGGGTTATGGAATGGTGGAAAGGAAGGAGAAGACATATCAGGTGTTAGAAATGGCATGACATATATAACTGATGTCATGTTGCTTGCCTTCTCAATGGGTGGGGAAAGGGCTTGAGGGAGGGAGAGAAAACTCAAAATTTTTTAAAAATGAATGTTAAAAATAAAGTAATATTACAAAAGAAAAATGTTTGTTGAATTAAATTAATTATTAATATCTGTGAGCTATTTATTACATTAAGTTGAACTCAAAGACATTAAGGTCCCCTCAAAATCCATTTTTACAAGAACTCATAACCAGTTCAAAGAAATATACAAGACAGCCTTGTTATTGAAGAATAATTTGTACTAGATAAAGGTTACTTCATGTGAATCCACTTAAAATGGGGATCAATATGTCATAGCAAATAATAAAAAAGCACTTCATGGGAATTTTATTTCAAAAAATGAAATGAAAATTATGTAAATAAGTCTGTTTTCTATTTGACAAAATTACAAAATACAGTCACAACTATGTGCTTAGAATTAAAGAAAAAAGGTTTTTTTGTATTTTTCCAACAAAATTATATGATGGAAAAGTCATAATAAAGACAGTGATCATTACAAAAAAAAAAGAAATAGCATGAAGAAAGTCATGGATATGTGAATTAGCAAATTTAAGTAAAATTAACCAGATTCACTTGATTGGAGGGGTGGGGCCAAAATAAGTTATATATGATAGAAAAATAAATACTTCTTACGTGTGAATGTCTTTAAGATTGACAAAGCAATTTCCTCACAACCACTCTATGAAATATGTAATATATTCCCCATGTTACAAATGAAGAGACAGGGGTTCAGAGAGGAGAATGGACTTATCCATGGTCTCCTGACAAGTTGCATCATAAGCTAAGATCTAGGTCTGTTCAGCCTTGTTTTCTTGAGAGTGAAGGGCAACATCTTTTGTATTCTATGCTCTGCCAGATTTAAAAGTCAGTGGAAGTGGTGCTGTTTTTCAAGAAGTTGCAAGGTATGAGTCAAAAGAATTCTGCTCTGTCCAGTGACCAAAAGTTACTCCATCTATCCTGTCAATATGACTCACCGGAGACTCCAGTTTCGAATTAAAGGAGTCCTGCCCTGTTAATAGGCAGGAAACTACCTCCTTAAATCTTGAAAACCTAAAATTCTGTAGACCATGTTTTTCCCCCTGAGGATGGAAGGGGTGGCTTATTTGTTCTACCTCAGAAACTCCCTGCCTTCCTTCCCCCCAATTTCAAGTAGCTAAAAGGTAACCTGGTGTCCAATGGTAATCTGCAATATTATTAAGGGTGGTCAAACAGGCAGATTCCTCACAGGTGAAATCTAAACTTCTTAATTACCATATTTCACTACACAATTGTTGACACTGCATAATTGTCGCACCTCATTTTTTCAGTCCAAAAATTTGTTTATTACCTTTCATCGCGTAATTGTGGCATGACATAATTCTGTTTATCACGCCACTTAAAAGGTAAACAGAGCGGCAATGTATTCACCGGTGGCATATGGATATGTATTTATCTCTTGAGCTGTGAGCCTAGAATTCTCAGCATAGGCACATTGTCAGCATTCAATTTTAAACATGTATTCATAAGTATTCTGTGCATTCTAATCTTGCACCAAAGACAGTTTAGTAACAAATGGTTTTTGTAAGTAATACTGGCACAATGTTTTAAAATCTTCACATAATGGTCACACCCCACTTCTTTTGCAAAAAAAATTTTGTCATAAAATCTGTGACAATTATGTGATGAAACAGGGTAAACTTTCCTGGAAACCTGGACATTTCATAAGATTTCAAACTAGAATCTTAGAAATCCTCTATCTAATTCCCTCATTTTAGAGATGAGGGGAAGTGACTTGCCTAAGATTTCAGGGGTGGTAAGTAGCAGAGCCGGTTTCTAATTTTCTCACTACTCTGGTTTTCAAAACTGGTTTTTATTTTTACCACTACTTTAACCCAGAAGTAACTGACAATTGACAAGACAACATAAATCCCCCTAGTCTTGCCGTCTGGGGTATTCTGTGAGACCTTTTAGAAAAGACTATCCCTATTGAGAAGGAGATGATAAAGAGAGAATCAAAAGAGAGAGAGAGAGAGGTGACAGTTGTTAACTGGCCATGCATGGCAAAAGCATAGCAAGCAGGGAGGAGATGAGAATCTGAGAGGAATGATATTTTTAGTGTTATAAGAAGGAAATGATTCAGGGAGAGGAAAAGCAGTCCGCTGATGGGTGCTGCTACTAAAGAACTAAGCTTTTCACGTTCCCCCTTCTTCCAGGTACAGCATCATGAAATCCTGCTGGAGATGGAGTGAGGATAACCGACCCTCCCCAACACAATTACGCCTTCGCCTAGAGGCTGCCAGCCAGGGTGCAGATGATAAAACTGTGCTGCGGGTACCTGAGCTGGTGGTGCCTGAGCTGTACGCAGCTGTAGCAGGCATCAGGGTAGAGAGTATTTCCTCCAGCTACACCATCCTCTGAAGCACCACTGAACTGAAAAGACACAAGTGATATGCTCGGGGCAATACAATTAGGAATTGTATTGGACATCGGGATGTTATGGGGGAAGAAAAGGGAGGGAGAGGGCATGAAGCTCTTAAGAGCTGGAAGGAACCTCAAAGGTCATTTAGTCCAATCCCCTCATTTTACAGGTGAGGGAGCTGAGCCTGGGAAAGTTAAGTAACTTGCCCAATATCAAACAGGTAGTAAGTGCTGGAGGCAGGATTTGAGTCCTGGTCAGAACCAGTGATCTTACCGCTATATTATGCTGCCTTCCAGACTTCAGACCTAGAGATTTCTTTGCATATATTCTCTGGACGTAGCTGGGTATGAATTCCTGAATCACCACTTGGGAGCTGGAGTTGGGTTTTGGGGTCATCCGGGTTGAAATTAATGGATAATATTTCAATGGAGATTTTTACAAATCCACAATGCTTCTGGGGTCAGGGGAAGTAGTTTGTCTCCCTTCAGTTGCGGCTTCCAGACAAGTTCCCTTCTGGAACATTTTCTGTCTGAATTCTGATTGTGAGACCCATGGAGATGAGAATCAAGTGAGAGTCAATATGAGAGAAATAGAGAGAAGGAGGAAATTATGGGCAATATTTGATCCGAGTAAGAATTCACTAAGGAATTCTCCTTCCAAGAGAATTAGGAGTAATCATGTGAAAATTCTTGTTTCTTAATGTGAGGCTATAAGAAGAATAGAAAAAGAAGATTCCCACTTGTCCAGTGGAGTGAGAAGGTAGAGATTTAGAAGGAGGAAGACATGGTCCTTTTATTTCTTATCAGTCCTCTTTACACTGATAGTGATGGGGAGATGGAAAAGGCTATTCTCTTTTGAGAATGCCTAGTTCCATCTGTTCACCATTGTGAAGGGTTCTCAGACCCTACAAAGCAATTAGAAAATCTTGAGCTTTACTTCCATTATTAAAACAGGCAAAAGTAGAGCTCAAGAGGAGGACTGTGTTGCTCAGAGGCACAAAGACATACACAAAGAAAATAAAATGGAATGACTGAGAAATTGAACAATGGCAATTTCTAATATTGAAGACACCATTGATTTATTATAAAACTTTCCATTAAATTAATTTTTTAATATTTATTGAGGTACTGTGATCTTTTTGTTATCTTTCTTGACACAGCGCATGCCAGTTCTATTTACTTTGCTTGACATTTTTCCTCCCACAAAAGTACTAATGCACCTTTTAGAAACAACCAGTGTATAACATTTAGATAGAGGGGTGGCACACCGTAGCCTTGAGGCCCCCTAGTCCCCTGAATCACTGGATTCAGTCAAAGGGCCACACTTGAGGACCTAGACAGCCACATGTGGCCTGGAGGCCATGGGTTCCTCACCCCTGTTCTAGAATGAAAATTATGTATTTGAAGTAGAACTTTCTTTCCCTAATAGGCAGTTTGTTCTCCTGATCTACCTAATGTTACTCAAAATCCAGTGATGACCTTCACCCACAAAGGGCCCTTAGTTCTGCATTCCTACACACCAGGTTCAGCTTGAATTTAAAGAACACAGATCAGTATTTTTCTTATCCTTTATGATTCATTATACTTCAGGGAATATATCTTAAATGATACTTAGGTATACTCATGTCTAGGGTCTTCCTAAAAGGGATTGACAGGGTCTCCCCTATAAAAGTTTATTCAGTGTAAAATTTGTAGATATTACGTAAAGGACAGCTATTCATTTCCTCCCATAAAAGAAATGCCTAAAACACGAAAGACTCATAACCACTTATTAACATACACCTAAAACACAAACTATATCTCATACTCCTCTATTACATTTTCCTGGAAGTCTGATGCTTACAACACAAAACTTTGGAGACTGCTGAGTTTCACTTTCACCTTGGATCTGAGCAGTTCATTCAGGGTCCCCATCTTCTAGCTAGCTAAGCATGCATGACTTATCCTCTTATCTGTGGTCATCTTCTCTTCTGAGATGGGTGTATTTGCACTTCCTGCTGGGCAATCAGCAGCCAGAGTTCTTAATGACCTCCAAACCTCTAGAATTTTTGAGGTAACTACCGTGGCTGAAAGTTTCCATTTTTTGGTCTTGCTGTTTGGTATTGTATACAGGGAAAGAAACACAAATTAGAAAAGGCAGCCAGAGACTTAAGATCCATTTTCAGTCTCATCTAGGTAAGCAAACACTGACTGTGCTATGCATCTAGCTACCATTTCTGTTTCTTGAAATGGGTAGAGAGGAGGGAGATTCCCTCTCTTTCCCCCTACTGGAAGTCTGAGGAAGAGCTGTCAGAGTCCCAGAGAGAACTATCCGCAGAGTCCCAAGCCACATGTTCAAAAGATAGTGAGGGAGCTAAAATAGAATTCTCCTATCATCTTTGATATATCTTTGAGTTATCCAAACAGGGAATATTGGGGATCAACCAGGAGCTACAGTTGTCCATGTCCTTTAGTATGGGGCCTAAACAGAGGGCCTACTGGAAAGGGCTAGGGCACAGACTCAGATCCATGGGAAGAGTCCGAATATAGGAGATTGGAGGTGATGGGCTCCTAGTTACACAAGGATATAAAGAAATAAAAAATTTGCGAAATTCAGTTCTGCGCTACAATACTTCAGAGAAGAGTGTTCATATCCTAGTTTGACATGGAATCATAGGCCATTAGATCTACAATTCATTTAGTTTATTCTTCCCTCTCCATCTCCCTCCTCATACCTTTTGACAGATGAAGAAACTGAGACTAGGAGAGATTAAATAACTTGCCTAAAGTCATTTGTAAAACAAAGTAGTGGCAAAATAGAAACTAGTCCCCTGAATCTCAGTCCAATGTTTTTGGCTACAACGATTATGTCTTGTCTAGGAAAATGGCATCTAGTTGTCATATGCCATACTTAGAATAGATTCTCTCATCTCTATCTTCGGACATTCTTCTTTCCAGGTCCATTTTAGGTGCTAACTTGGATAGCACCTAACTTGGATAGCAAAAACTTGGATGTTTTTGTTTTACTTCTTTTATTATTTTTTCAGCTAGAAGCAATTTATGCCTTTCTGAATCAGTATTTTTTAAGTCCCTGCCATGAGTAAGGTGCTATGCTATGTATCCCTGAGGATACAAGTACAATGAAAGAAACAATTCATACTCATAAGACACACTCTAATGGATGAGACAACAAATTCCTGTATAAATTTAAGGTGCAAAAACATAAATATATAAAAAATAATTAAACTCAAGGTAGTTTGGAAGGGAGAATCATAAGAGAGTTAGGAAAGGTGTCATGCAGAAGATGTCATTCTGACCTTTCCCATTGTCTAACTTGCATGATAATTATTTGTGTCTATGTCTCATCAGCCTACTAGTATGTAAGCTCCTTGAAGGAGCTATAATATTTTTCACTTTTGTATCCCCAGCACTCAGTACAATGCTTTCTTTTTTTTTCTTTAATCATAGCAGGCATTTAATAATGTTCAATTGAGCTATGGACAACAAGGCAATTGACCTTTTTTAGGCTATTGCCACCTTTCTGTATATAGTACGTGTAAGCTCTGAGGATCTTTATCCCAATTCCCACTCTCAAAAATGAATCTCGGGTCACAGAAAGACCTTCCCTTTGCCTTCAAGATTCAAGATTTACCCCGGGACAGTGAGGAGTAGCGAGTCTAATGCCTGTGGTTTGAGCCCCCACTGGTATGCTTACTCCCAACATAGTCAGTCAGGCAGCCTTAAAGTAGATTTTAGAAAGCTGATTGAGATTGCTTTATTGTTTTCACCTGGTTAAGGTATGTGCCTATCGTATTATATTGCATATCTTATCACTTACTTTTAATGAGGTAAGTTGACTTCATTGAGTAAATCAACCAACCCTGTTCTGACACATAAAACGGTAGAATATCGTTGCCAACCTCAGCAGCAGAGAAAGAACATGCAAGAAGAATTTACTGCTAGTGAGGATACAGAACCCTCGTGGAAGAAGGTCATACAAAGTGTCTATCATTCATCCCTCTTCTATTTTGCAATTCTCTCTCCTCCTTTGATCTCCCAAAATGGGGTATCTTATCCTTAGCTGAGGATATTTTGCTCAAAATAAGGCAAATTTTGATGGCTGAAACCTACCTAGTTGTCTTGGGGTTTACTGGCTAGATTTCTTTCTCAAACACCATGCCTTAAACCCAATTCACTCTGGATCTTATTGATAGGATAACAATAGGTCCCTACCCATGCACCACTTAATGGTTACATTTTGGGCCCTTCTGGCTCAGAATGAATGTAAATAGTAGTTGTTTCTCTTTTGTCCAGCAAGCCTGAGGGCCTTCCCTGTCCAGTTTGTTTTTTTTTTTTATTAAAGGGGTCATCCCTTGACTCACTTCTTCCACAGGCCTATTCACTGAATGGGAGTTGCCTCACTCAAAATGAGAACTGGGAAAGACCTTAGCTGAAAAAGACCAACGTCTCCCACTGCATCCTGGGCCATCTCCAGTCATCCTGATCCATATCTGGCCACTGGACCCAGATGGTTCTGGAGGAGAAAGTGAGGCTGGTGATTTTGCCCTGCCCTCCCTCCCAATCCATTTCAATGCAAGTCATGTCATCACCTCCCTGATGTCATGGTCCTCTTTGAAGAATAAACCACACACATTTTCCAATATAGCAGAGGTCATACCGATGATCATGATTTGTCAGGTCACATTGCCATGGCAGAATACTACTAATAGCAATGGCAAGGTGATATTACCATATGAGTAACATGTTAATTTCATCTCTGTTGTGAAAATACATGGACAGAGATGTGCTTTTGTCATTTCCTTATAATAAGAATGGTATGTGGAGTATTTGACCAGATGTGCTTGGTTGATGATATGACTTTTGTGAAAACATTGAGTAACCAAGGAATGATGCTTGGAGCTACTTTAAGAATGGTGACTGATAGAGGAAAGACTAACGTAAAATTAGACCCTTCCTGATTTCATAATGAATTAGCTACCAGAGTGGTGATGCAGCAGTTATGGGAGTGCCAGAGTGATGACATTTTAGGGAAACTATAGTTACCATATGGAAAAATGTCTAGTTATTGGACATTTTGAACCTGGGTTAAAATTTATTTCTCTGTCTTAAGAACTTCGAAAAGGCTTGAATTCCTAGTCCTTAGTT